GAACCTGATTGACCGCGAGCGATTAATGACGTCACTTGAGCAAATCGAGCATGTATATTTCATATACAATTCTTTAAAATTCGATCGATTATTTCCCGAAAAATTAAAAAAATTAAAAAAATCGGTTTCCAGAAATTGACCGCGAGCGATTACTCGCGGTCAGACAGACAGACAGACTTAAAAATTAGAAAAATTAGAAAAACCGGTTTCCAGAAAATTGATAATAAAAAATTATATACTTTATGGCACTCTCCAGAAAATTCTACCCCTATTTCACGTACTCGTGGTAAAAATTCGATCCACTAACGAATGAGTAGTTCGCGATCAGACAGAAAAATTTAAAAAATAAAAAAAATCGATTTCCAGAAAATCGGTAACGAAAAACTGTACACTTTATGGCACTTCCCGGGAAATTCTACCCCTATTTCATGTACTCGGGGTAAAAATTCGGTCCACTAACGAATGAGTAGTTCGCGATCAGACAGAAAAATTAAAAAAATTAAAAATCTGGTTACCCGGGCTTCGCCCCGGAAGACATATGTAATAAGACACGCAAATAGTCTGCTCTCTCTCTCTCTCTCTCTCTCTCTCTTTCTCTCTCTTTCTCAAATGCTATAAATTGAAAAATATTACTTTTTTATCGACTGAAGTTCAATTCTGTCGTATACAATTTGAGATTCACTCAATTATTTCCTAAAAAATTAGAAAAATTTCGTAACCGATTTCCAAAAAGATACCGGTTCCCAAAAAAATCGGTAACGAAAAACTACAGTTCATAGCACTTCACGGGAAATTCTACCCCTGTTTTATATACAATTCTTTATAATTCGATCAATTATTTCCCGAAAATTTCGAAACTTCTGATACCGATTCCCAAAAAGATCGGTAACGAAAAATTATGTACTTTATAGCACTCTCCGGGAAATTCTACCCCTACTTTGTATGTACAATTCTTTGAGATATAATTATTCGGAACCGGTTTCCAAAAAAATCGGTAACAAAAAATTATGTACTTTATAGCATTCTCCGGGAAATTCTACCCCTACTTTGTATGTACAATTCTTTGAGATATGATCATTCGAAACCGGTTTCCAAAAAAATCGGTAACAAAAAATAGTACATTTTATAGCATTCTCCGGAAAATTCTACCCCTACTTCATGTATAATTCTTTGAGATTTAATCAATTATGTCCCGAAAAATTAAAAAAACCGGTTTCCAAAAAGATCGGTAACAAAAATTGTACACATTATGGCGCTCGCCGTAAAATTCTACCCCTACTTCATATACAATTCTTTCAGATTCGGTCAATTAATTCCCGAAAAATTTGAAAAATTTCTAATACCGGCTTCCAAAAAGATCGGTAACGAAAAATTATACACTTTATAGTACTCTCCGGAAAATTCCACCCCTGTTTCATACGTAATTCTTTGAGATTCGGTCAATTATTTCAGGAAAAATTGAAAAAATTAAAAAAACCGGTTTCCAGAAAATCGGTAACAAAAAACTATACACGTCATGGCACTCCCCGGAAAATTCTACCCCTATTTCACGTACTCGTGGTAAAAATTCGATTCACTAACGAATGAGTAGTTCGCGATCAGACAGAAAAATTTAAAAAATAAAAAAAATCGATTTCCAGAAAATCGGTAACGAAAAACTGTACACTTTATGGCACTCCCCGGGAAATTCTACCCCTATTTCATGTACTCGTGGTAAAAATTCGGTCCACTAACGAATGAGTAGTTCGCGGACAGACGGACGGACGGACGGACGGACGGACGGACGGACGGACGGACAGACAAACAGTCGCGTTTTATATAATAGTAATGATGTTTAACTAAACTATAAATATATGGTTGATGCCAAAATTGACTATAAAATATAGTGAGATTATAGTTATTCCAACTATTTTTTTTCTCAGTGATGCGTATATTCTTTTGCGGATAATCGGTCATTGCGTGTATTTTTCATTTGCGTAAATTTTATTGCGTGTATCGTATTCGGGCGTTATCTATTCCATTGCGCGCGTTATATATTGAGGATAACCAATCCTCTCGCGTCTTGTAGTTGGCCGATCATCTCTGGCGCGTGGTGTGTACCGCGGATAATCGTTCCTGGTGAACTTTCACTTTCGGTGGATAATATTTATTCAAGTCACCGGTGTACACCGAATTCACGTATTCGATGTGTGACCCCCGCGAGGTAAATATCATCTCGCATTCCGCGTCTTCCGCTATAATCCGAAATGGTGAAGATGCCCCGAGCCTGAGATGACTTTAACCCTTATGTCAATACCCGGAATGTGCGACGTTGTTCAATATCCGGGTACCCGGTGCGACGCTATTTTCTGCGGCCGCGAGGCGGTTATGCGCGACCGCACCAATATACCGCGTCACAAATATGTCGAGCGAATAGCAGAGCAAAATACAACCTCCAAAAATGTTGGGCGCCAGGTGTGGAGAAGGCCACAACTTGACTCGAAATACGCGAACGTTAACAAAAAACTCGAAATCTTCTCAAGATTTAAAGGTGCTCCAAATACTCTTAATACTACAACTCGGATACTTTGCTTTTGTCGCTCGCGACGGCTGCTCAATCAGCGGTAGAGGGTCGGGGCTCAAAGACCGCACAACTTTATGAGACGTTGACAGTGGTTAGGCGAGGCACACACAAAAATAACTCGGAGGCGATAAAAGAAGAAAAGCGAGAATATATTGTATAATAAGACAAGGCAATATCAAGTTCAAGGCTCGGGTGTTATAATCCCCGAGAATCTTCCACCGGTTTGCGTTAGGACTAGAGACGCGGAATGCGGGACAATATTTATTATGCGGTGGTCACGTACGAAACACGCTTGCTACGCAGCGTGCCCTGGCTTCTCTGGCTCGCCGCGCTCTCCCGTACACGTCTCGATCACGTGCTATTCTACCGAGGGCTGCCCAAACTATTATCCGACGGCGTTCTCCGCCCTAAAACAAATAACTCTCGAATTTACGCTTCTTTGTACCCTCTTAAAATAAAATAAGTGTGACGTTATGTGTTCCATCAGTTTCTATCTTAGGGCCAAATATGCCCCGATCCTGAAATCCATCATTAGGACCACATCCACCACGTCACACCAAATATGAAACAATTACTTAGGATGACTCTACTTCATAGCCACGAAGAGAGATTACGCGCCAAAGAACGCTACGTGCTACTAGAAATTGCACGCCCAAGGAATAATACTCGCGCAATAATCAATTCTCGCAGCCGGAGTAGTACTCGCAAAATGAATAGGGCCTGCCGAACGACTAATACACGCAACATAAATCTTCCTCGCAAGGTGAACAAGACTCGCCCCCAAAATATCTCTCGCAAAGGACGGACACGCTAAATGCCCATGGCTCGCAAAAATAAAGAATACCCGTCGAACTAGGTCTCGCAAAATGCCGATTACTCGCGAGAAGGGATAGGGATCATACACGGAATAATGCACGCGAACGGAGAGTTTTTCGTGAAATGAACGGTACTCGCAGAATCCGTACCTCCCGCAGGAGAACCAATGTACGCAAAATACGTTTTTCTCGCAGAATAAACGACACCCGCAAAACCGGGACTTCTCGCAGAAGAAACAATACACGCAAAATAAGTATTCCTTGCAGAATAAACGATACACGCAAAATAAGGATTTCTCGCCGAATAAACGATACACGTCAAATAAGTATTCGTCGCAGAATACACGATACACGCAAAATACGGATTTCTCACCGAATAAACGATACACGCAAAATAAGTAGTTCGCGTCGAACTATTTACTTGAAACTTAACGCAAAGCCTCGCCGTACGGTCCACGCCGCTATAATTCCGTTTTTCTGCATCCGCAATTTCCTCCACATCCTGAGTCTCGATAAAATGCCAATGTGTAAACAACACGTGATTTTTCTACATGCCTTTGCAAATGCAAATCAGGATGTGGAGGAAATTGCGGATGCAGGAAAACGGAATTATATTTTGTTCACCAGCTTGCTCAGGATGCAACGGCGACAACTACTCCAATTGTTCTCCTACGATTTTAGTAGAAAATGAACTCGAAGAAGTTTTAAAAAAATTTAAAATATAAAGATTTAAACATTTAAATTTAAACATTATGTAAAGAAACAATATAAACTATTTACCTACTTTCATACTTTGTATTGCATTTATTCACTTTTGTAATGTTATTTTTTATTCTGAAAAATATTACATTTTGAATTTCATAAATTGTAACCAATAAAAACATAATTAACTATTTGAAAAAACCTCTTTTTTATTATTATTTTAAGTTTAGAAGCAAAAAATGCAAGCTAGTAAGTACGTTTAAAAAATGTTTTGTTTTAGAATTTCAATAGTAGAAACTTGCACATTGTTTCCTCATAGTTGTTAAACGTGCAAGTAGAAACTTGTACATTGCTTCGTCATAGTTTTTAAGTATGCAAGTAGAAACTTGTTTAAAGTGAGCAATTAGAAACCTGCACATTGCTTCCTATATGAGGAAGCCAAATTAATAAATATCTACTAATAATTATGCATAAAAAAACAGGCTTCAGGCTCAATTACAGGTTTTTACTTGCACACTTCAAAACTATGAGAAAGCAATGTGCAAGTTTTTTATTATTGTTTAACTAATATAAAAAATGTACTATTATTTTAACGTATTAAACATAAAATGATATATGCAATCTTAGAATATAGGAATTAAAGAGAAATAGGTGTTAAATAATTTAATAAATAAACACAAAATTTTGTGTAATGAAACATTGTTTTATTAGGCAGAAATCTCTTCAAATACCAACATTTATTGCAAGGGTAAGGAAAACTGCCAAAAACCTTACCAGTATCTGTATAACAAAAATATTGCACATTTTTAAAATCAAAAATATCTTTAAAAAATTAAACAAAAATTAATATAATTTAATGAAATAAAAGAAATAAATATATTCTGTTATTCAAAATAAAAGTCGTTTTTCTCGACCGAACTGGCCAAAAACAATTTTATTCTTCACAACGTTTCGACCACCTTCTGGTCCTTATCAAGTGAATTAGAACCACGCACACAACATTTTTTAATTCGCTGACATTAGTGCCCAAACCATATCATGCAATCGCAAATCTAGAATCGCAAAAACGCAGTAGTCAATAAGATAAAATCATGACAAGTTACCAAGTCTATAACATAAAGTGAAAATCTGTACCAAAAAGTAAAAATAAGATAAAAGAATTTGAATTAAATAAGTGTAAATAAAATAAGTTAAGTTAAAAGGTCAAAAAGTAGTCAAATTAGGTAGTCACAAAGATAAAAACATGAAAAGTTACCAAGTCTATAACATAGAAATAAAATAAAAGAATTGAATTAAATACGTGTAAATTAAATAGGTTAAATTAAATGAGTGTAAAAGATACATACGTTGTGCGTGTCAAAAGACAGGTTGTAGAGGGAAAGAAAAAGGCAAGTCATGTCAGAGAGCACATCCATACCTCTCCACAGTCAAAGTCGTACTGAGAGACACATAATAGGCGAATAACTAACTGTGCTCACGGACAAAACAAACCGGCAAACCTAAGTTGCGTCAATAACACGGTTGTAATTCGCTGGTAAATTTTCGGTGTCTTTTTGTAGATTGATTGCGCTGTCACATTTCTTAATAAAAAACATCTCAGAGATTTCACGCTTCTTGAACTGTCTTTCCTTGTATAAAATTTTTGGTTGTTGCCAATTGAAATCATGTTTGTGAGTGAGACGGTGCTTACTCACGACAGAATGATTATCGCTATTTTTCCTAATGTCGCAAGCATGTTCCTTAATACGCGTCTCTAAGTGTCTTTTTGTTTGACCGATGTATGCAGCGTTACAATTAGCGCAATCAATCCTGTACACTAACTCAGTTTGTTTAAGATTCGGTAACTTGTCTTTCCCCTTTTTTATGATGCAGTCTAATTTCTTCGGAATAGTGAGCAGCACTTTAAATTCCGCATCGCGCATTGTGCGGCCGACGTTGTGGCTTAGGCCTTTAACATACGGAATGGTTATAAATTTTCGAGGATCCCGAGCCAAGCTATCGCTGTTGGAATTATTAGAATTGTTGTGACGCGTCCGCAGCTCATTAAGTCTGATATTGATGTATCTGTTGATAACTTTGTTCGGATAACAATTGTTTGAAAGAATCTTTTTTATTTCGCTTAAGTTATTCTTGTGGAAACGCGTGTCAGATAAAAGGATAGCTCTATCAACAAGATTCCGTATAATATTAATTTTGTATTTAAAAGGATGGTTCGAAAAATAATTAATATAACGTCCTGAGAAAGTGGGTTTTCTGTACCAATCAGTAAGTAACAAATTATTTTCGCGGATCACCATTGTGTCAAGAAAACTTAAAGAACCATCCTTTTCCAACTCGTAAGTAAATTTTAATCTGTTATGGTAGTTATTGAAAACTGTAAGTATCTCATCGACTTTCAACCTGGGAACAATTGCGAACACGTCATCGACATATCTCTTAAAGAAAGGTACAGGGAAGCTAAGCATTTGTAAACACTTTGTCTCCAGATCCTCCATGACCATGTCAGCAAGAATGGGGGAGAGAGGGGAACCCATAGGACTTCCGAAGATCTGCTCGTATATTTGGCCGTTAAAAGAAAAACTCGTGGAACTGAGAATTAAGTCAACAGCTGACAAAAACTGGGGAAGGCTAAGTTTCGTTTCATTAGAGACGTGATTCCATCTATTCTTTATCGCTTGTAATACGAGGTCTTTCGGGATGTTCGTGAAAAGAGAGGTGACATCCAGAGAGATCAGGACGTCATCATCTTCAATTCTCACGTCTCTAATCAATTCTACAAACGACCAACCATCTTTGATATATGATTCAGGTTTAGGAACGGATTTGACCAAAATGTTGTGTAAAAAATTAGCCATATTATACAGTGGACTCCCTAAAGTGGAAACAATGATTCGTAAAGGTGAGCCATCTTTATGGATCTTCGGAAGTCCATAACATCTTGGGAGGTTCCCATTAGTACAGTTTAATAGTCTAAACAGTTGCTCACTGATGATGTCCTTGTTACGCCACGACTTTGCCAGACCGTTAATTTTGGAGGTGATCTGTCTAGTGGGATCGTTCTTAAGTTTTTTATACGTCAAACTATCGCTGAGTAGGTCAGTCATCCTATTGATGTAGGTGTTTCTTTCCATAACCACCGTGACTTGACCCTTGTCAGCCTTGGTAACAAGGACATCATCATTATCCCGAAGAAATGATCGGCAAAACTTAAATTCTTGTAGCAAAAACCTATCAATATAATTCGTATGCTTGTCCTTTCTTAAAAATCTAAACAAAGAGTTGGAAATACGGTCACGCGCTTCTTCAACAATATCTTCAGCAATAAGATGGATATTACTTTCAAAATTCTTAATTATGTCCACCACAGAATTCACCCGATCATTCTTGTCTTTCCTATCTACCGGAAGAGCGAATCTGTCGCCCAGACTAAGAAACTTTAAAACTCTATCTGGGATTTGTTTGTTACTTAAATTAATGATCCATTTTTTATGGTTGATGTTGAGTAAAGAGTTAATAATCGGATTCTGCGTGGCCATAACTGAATCAAACTTATTAATTAATTTTAATTGCGTTTTACGGTCATGTGTACGGAGATAGTTAGTGTTAAAACTAATAAAATTATTAAACAATAAAGACGGTAAGTGTTCGCGAAGTTGATTCTCAACTCCGTTGACTTTCGAACGCAAATAACATAAATTGACATTAGCATCGTTGATCTCTAAATTAAGGAGTTTTGACCGTACTTGCTTTTCAAAAAGAATAAACTCCTGTTTTATACTGTTACTGTGAAATTCAATGTTCAAACGTAGACGATGCAGGTGCGGGGGCAGGACATCAGATCTTCTGCAGCGGAGCAAGAATTTCAGTTGTTGGTTAGTTGAGATGGCCTTAATATTCAAATTAATCCAAGATTTAAGTAATGTCGTGGTCTCATATCCAAACTGTCTAGTAACAGTATTGAAAAATCCTTCGTCACGATGAAACACCATAATTCTGGTCCAAGGTGTGCGGTATAAACAAACAAATAACTTCCTTCGCCAGTGGATAAATTCAAAATA